TTTGTATACTAAAACTTTACTCATATTTCTTGTTGATGGAAAAGGACAGTTAAAAAGAGAGAGACAATTACTTCTCATTGTGGCATAAATGTACTAGTATTCTGTCTACAGAAAACTGGGTTAAAAGAGTGGAAAACAAGCCAAATTTTCACTTTCTCGGGGTGCTTTGTTTTTAAATACACAATTCTTCAATGAAATTAGAAGTTTATTTTGATCAAACATGCAAAATTTACAACAATTTGGCCCATACAATCTAATTTTCTAATGCTTATATATTTATATACTTTTCCTACATGAGATAGTTTGCATATTAGCAAATAAATATGATGTTGCCTCATCATATTTCTAATCCTGGGGTGTACATGTTTAATGTCTGCAGAAATCTAAGTCCATGGTTGTGAAAAAGAGAAACTTATACAGTACATAGCTCAGCAAGGCTATTTAAATTTTATTGTGAGTGTTAAATCACACATTCTTTAGAAAAAAACAGTCTGATATCACACAGTTATCAAAACAAGCTTGGTGGAAATTGGACTTCCTGCTCCAAGAAGAAGCCAAGTAGCCCATTAAAAAGAGCGAACAATATAACATAATACAAAAGGTTTGAATAGTTATTCTATAAATGGCCCTTGTACTTGAAATTCTGCAATTTCTTTCATGATAGCTTTCTAAACTTAATAAAATTACTTATTAGAAGTTCTTACCTTCTTATGAAATTGCCAAGATATTTCCAGTCCTGCTTGTCCACCGAAACCTGATATTTATGTGCAATAGTAAGTAGAAATTATAATCCAAAATTTTAGTTGTGGGCTGGAACTAAGCATTTAATAGCTTGCATTTGTTTTGGTTTAATTGCTGCTACTGGTATTTTATTTTATCCAAATGACAGCTAGTGGAACATTATTCCTACAAAGCAGATGGACTTCTAAGAATAATCACAGAGCCAGTTAAAGATCCAGATTTTCACTTAAGAAATAGTAAGTGGCTTATATTTTTAAAATATGGAAGTCAAATCCATACACTGTGTACATTACTAATGCCTGATTGTGTCAAGAAGATGAAGCAAATTCCTAATAATGAAATTAAAAGTACGCTAACAGTGTCATTATTGGCATAATTAACTTAATTCTTTCTTAAATACAGTTTCTTAAAAAAGATAATAAGTATCTATTTCAGGGATGTCGAACTACTGCAGGATTTCATTGAGTGCCATATCAGGGCAGGGGCGGGCGGGCATGGCCAACTGTGTGGGTGTAGCTGACTGTGTGGGTATGGCCAGCTTGTCCCCATTCACTGCGTATGGCCAATTGGAGGGCATGGTTAACTGGGTGGGTGTGACCAGCTTGACACCGCTCACTGGGCATGGCGAGTTCGGCATGGCTGGGTCAGGACAGAACAAGTCATACCAGCTAACTTGATGTGGGGACAGTTTGGTGCCCCTCAAGCTCCTTGCCTCCCCAAATTGCTGGCAGCCAAGTGCATGCATGCACACACATATATCATTCCAGGTCTGGGGACTTTCATCTACATAGAAAGGAGAGGACCTTCTCCCTAAGCCCAGACATGATTGGCAGTTTGTAAGCTCAGATGTGGATAAAAGTCTCCAAGCTTAGAATGGTGTGTGTGTGTGTGTGTGTGTGTGTGTGTGTGTACGCACAGCATGCCAAAGGAGATGTTTTTCTCCCAATCCCAGATATTGTTGGCATTTCCCTGTCTGGTGCACCTTCCCAGCAAAGGAGGAGGTGGAGGACACCCCCACTGCTGTGTGTGGAAACATGAAGGAGAAAGTTTTCAAGAAGCAGTTTTCTCTGAGTCCAACTTCTGCCTTGACAGATCTCTGGAGAGCAAGAGGAGGTGGCAGGGTAGCAGTGCTCCCTGATCCTGCATGAGGGAGGCTGGCCCTTCTCAAAATCCCTGTTTCCAATTATGAGTGGCAAGGATGCTAGCTTGTAGGGACAGCCTTTCCCCATGCTGCTCCCCCACCATCCCCTCCTCCTCTGCAGAGATGTTTTAAGGCAGACATTGGTCTCAGAGGAAACTGCTTCCTGCAAAATTTCACTGTATCAGCATTATGGTTGCCATCAAAGGGCCAGTTGGATGTAAGACTATGGTATCATATGAGTTCATGTGTGTATTAATGTGGGCCAAACAGGATTAACATTTCAAATATGAACAAAGATTTCAATTAAATCTGCAAAAACAAATTTAAAACAAAGAACAAACATAAGTTTTTAATATGCAAAAACAAATTTAAAACAAAAAACAAACATAAGCTTTTTAGTTCTCTCTCTCATGCTGTTTTGTCTGAGCCGGATGCTTGGCATCTTTTGTTAGTTAAAAGTTCATCCATGTTTGGAGTTAGGTTCTGAGCTGTGGAAACTCTCAGGATAGAATGGAGGTGTGCATCAGTGAGAACACTTCTGTGTGTGCTTTTGTTCACCCTCATCATGGAGGGCCTTGAATGTGACACCCCTGATCTATTGCATCAATTAGAGAGACATAATTTTCTCTCAGTTTGGAGTGGTGAGATATGGTGGAGGGATATATAAGGGTGGAGGGACATCACGTTTATGTACCAATATGTGATCCATTCCATCTCCAAAATGAAATGGGATCAGATATGAATGACGTATTCTTGTAAATGAGGAGCATGCAATTATTTGGAAGAACTTTTTACCTAGTACATTGCACAATGAAATGTGACTCCCATAAATATTGATGTTAAAGTGACCTTTAGATAACTTGGCTGCTTTCAGATTGTAGATCCATGTCACTGAAACCGAACTTCCACTGGGAGTGCTGGTAAAACAAAGCTTCACTATCATACAAGACTATATTTTTCTTGATTTATAATAAGCTGTAGTTAGTTTACACATCAGGGAAACCTGATGTGATAAGATTTCTATCCACCTAGAGCCAATTTTAGGGAAAGTTACATTTTGCTCCCAATTTGATCTTTTGCTGATGATGAACTAGTAATGAGGCTCTTCTACTTTTCAGCCTGTTGAAAAACCTTCCAGTAAATTACAAAAGTACAAGATCCTCTTGAGCAGCAGACAAAAGTTTACACATAATCTTTTCTATTCCAGAAAAATCTGTTCCAGGATCAATTCACATGTGCTAATTTGTTTATTTCCATTTTTTTAATGGGAACTGAATTTGTCTTTGAATGGAGATAAAGTCTGTCTTTGCTTCTTGACGCTGATCTAAATAATAAGTCACAACTGATATTTTTAGAGTAATTGATATATCTTTTTACCTTAGATACATTACCCCCAAAAGTTTCTAAGCCTCGCAATTCTACGGTAAGAAAATGTACTGGTAAAAAACAGTAATATTTTAAATAATATAAAGTCAGGCAATATTTAAGTGTTTTGAATGGTTTATGTATGCATTCTTGCTGAATAGTGAATTAAAATAAGTTTCAAAAATAGGTTACAAATTATCTTTATGCATTTTCATAAACACGTTTTGCTGGGGGTTTTTATACATAAGATTAATTTGTTAAAAGGCAACTATAGAACCAGTAATTACTGAATATTCATATATGGGTATTTATCTGATACAAATAACATATTGGCTATCATTTTTCAAATTTTGAAACACCAATTCTGTTTTCAGAATAACTAATGAAGTAAGTAGTTTTAGATATATTTGTTTGCCTTGTAAGCAAGTGCATATAAGATTTGAATACATCAGAAGCAGTAGTATAAATTGGAGAACATGGAATAAAATAATGGGGACTATGGTTAAAATAAATACTGTATGTGACAAAGCTACAGAGATTCATATAACATATTTGAAGAAGTAGAGAAAATAATAACCACAATCCAGTAAGGCCTTTAGTCCCAAGCATTAAACATTATTGGAAATTCCTGTCCTGGTTTGTAAGACTGGATTTTTATCCTTCGTGCTAGAGCAAGCATGTATGTGAAAGTGATAGTTTTAAGCTTGTTTGTACTAGTTAAAATACTCTTATCTCTTCTTATCTTAGACATAATCTATTAATTGTGATAAGTCATTTGATAAATCTGATCATTGTACCTTATAAATTGGTGCTTTATAACATATAGCATGATACCAACCAATTATGCTTATCTGCAAACATGTTTAAACAAACCAGATCTTAAATTTGTGCATAGATGGCTATTTGTGATAGATTTGTGAAGCAGTTATCCAAGTATATATACCTGGAAGAGAATTAACATATATCATAAATTCCTCTAGGAAGAATTTCCAAAAAAGTTGGTTTCACAGAAGCCATATATATGTATATTTCCATAAATATATTAATTAGACCAAAATGATCAAACTTTTTCTTAATGGATTGCATGAGGATGGTGAATGTTATGAATAAATTAAATTCCATTTCCAATATTCTAATATACATAAAACAAATTATACTGTTGTGGAAAAGAAATAAAAACATGAAGTTTTACAACCAACAAAATTTCTTAATATCTCCCATATTATTGCTAAATATATAATTATAAGGCTGTATGTCCCAGTTATGACCTTTAAAACTAGCAACATAGCAAGCTGACTACAAAGCCAAAAATTCTAATTAAAAATTCAACCATTGTCATGAAATCCAGAATTATTTCTCCTCATAATAGACCATTGTAATCAATAAACCTGCAGATGAATAATTTAAGATCTAGTGGATCTTTTTAAAAATAAGTCAGAGTTTGCATTTAGCCAGTGTTTTGATGGAAGCAAATATCCACTTAACTTTAAAAACCACTGATTATAATGTATATCACAAAATATGCTATACTTAGAACAAACCTATTGTAAATGACTAAAAGAAATAGATATTGATTTTTTTTCATATTTTCTTCATACATTTATTTATTCTTTTGATATCCTTTATGGTTTCCAGACTTGGTCAACAGGTGGAATTATCACCAGAATCAAATCATACACTTTCCCAAAGCCAGGAAGCCAAAAGGTGCAATTAAACACAATTTTGTTAAGTCCTACTATACATTTAAAGATTACCTTCATTTTGCTGACTTACAAACCTTTTTGTAGTTTATTCTGCTTTTTGTTGCTAATCTCTTCTGAGCATCTAGCATCTTTCTTCAGCTTTTACTTCTTAATTTATATAATTAACCCATGCTATTTTATACTTGGGCTTGCATTTTATTTATTTGAAATACAACAATGATTTGTTATATAATAATTATGTTGGATAGAAAGAAAATAAATATTTTACAAGCAGCTCGAAATGTCAGGCAGCCTAAGTTTACTGGGCTCCCATTGCAATGCATTGTCCTACTCTGAGAAGTAATTTTAGCTTTCCTGGAGTGAGTGTGAGTGTAGAGCTTAATAGACCAACTCCCATCTCAACCCCTTAGAGATGCTAATAAGAAAACAAAGAGGAGATTAGATAAGAGCACTGTGATCTTGGCTAGGTTGCTTGGGTGGCAAGCAACAGGGAATACAAACAGTTGCAGAAAAGGGTATTGAATAAGTGCTCAATCCTAAACTAGCATTCAGATAGGCTGCATCCTCCAGATTCAGCAGGAGAAATGCAGTTTCCTTCAAAGCTACTTGTGACTGGACCCCTTATCTACATAAATCAAAACTTCACACTAATTTCTGCTACTTACCTCTCAAGCAATAATAACTGTGCTGGTGCTATTGGGTGTTTTGATTGCCATTTTGTAATCTCTTTCAAGGCCTTCCATCTTCCTAATCCAATGCAAATTCCCATATGTTATACAATAAACAAAATGGATCATGGATCTAATTGTGCTATGGAAACTCTTCTAAAAGCAACGTTTTAAAAAACTTTATTACAGGTAGAATATTAACAATATTGGTTAGTCTAAAACAAACATAATTATTGTTTTTATTCACAACCTATTATGAAAAGATGAGTCTTAGGCATTTTATATAAACGTTAGATATAAAGGAGAAGCCTGATTTATATAATAGACATTTACAAATGCTTGTTTCTTTTCCCATCAGATGGGTCATGCTCACCTCTCATAACTAAATAGGGAAAAGTTAATTAATTTTGCCTCTCTCCTTAATTGTGTTAAAGTCTCATACAAATGAGTTTTCATGTTTAAAAATAATTATCCAATCTTATCAATCAATTTAGTTCTGTCAGTTTCAACACTCTCAGTTCCCCATTGCTAAAGACAAAACTAAATTGATTGATAAGATTGGAGAATTACTTTGTGCTTTGGAGAAGACAGGAACATTATGTGATCAGTCATCCTACCCATCTCTGTTTTTCTCTGTTTCATTCAGAGTAGGGCTCTTACATCTTTCTAGTAGATATAGATACTTACATAGTGTATATACTGTGAAATTCATAGGCATATATTAATTACCACTGATTCCCTTTGAAAGGTTCAGTACCAGTAACAATTATTTTCCTTCTCTATGGCATATATAACAAGTAAAACTACTGTATTTATAAGTGATTTAGTAGCAGCAGATTTTAAAAGTATTTGTAACTGATTTCCATTCTTTCCTTGAAAAGTGATGCCCAAATAGTACTCAGGATTCCAATGGCCATCATAGAGGCAGCTCTAAATATGTTAGTTTGTAAATATTTATGAAATAATACATTTTATTTATAAACAAACGTATCAGGTTGCTAGTTGTCTTTTTGAAAAAAGATACTTAAATTGTTTTGCTAGCAATGTTATTTCTTTGTAGCTTGGCTTTTTAAATCAAATTTATCTCTAAACCTTCCACTGATATCCCCATTGGGATATCAGGTTTTGTGAAACTTCTACAATTTAACTGGAAACATGTTAAAATTTATTTTTAAAACAATGACATATATTAGCAAAATGCTGTAATTGCTGTAATGTAAAGTTACAACTCGTATATTTCACTCTGTGTGTTATCTATGTAGACATTGTTTTGATTCAAATAGCTATTGGTCTGCAAAAATATGGAAAGGAAGGAAGGAAGGATGGATTGGTTGATTGATTTTATGGCCACCACAACTATCTATTGCATCATATTTATCATCGTATGTCTATATTTGTAGTTTTCTAGTGTTCCAAGCAAGCTTAATATGTTATTCAAATTTCCATTTTTATTCACTTGCATTAAAAAAGCATTGATCAATGATTGGGAAAAGCAATAAGAGTTATTTAGAGAGAAGTTCATCCAATTGGCCTAAGTAATCCATGTTAGTTGCAAATAAAACTAGAGCAGTAGATTACATTTATTTCCCAAATTACTACTTCAAAGTCCAGGCACCTTTGAAGAATGGTTTATAAAATGAAAAATAGCAGTGAAAATATAAAATATATTAGAAGAAAAACAGTGAGCAGTTCTTGTTTCAGTGGACATGAGATTCCAAAATAGGATCTATAGTTGTCTAATTGAAGTATAAAACTGTTATTTAATTCCTTCTTTAGAAAATTAGTTAAAATAATTGAAGAAATCTTTATGCTTTTGCATTGCTAAGTCTTACTTTACTGCCAAATATAAGCAGCAAATAACTTTTCAAAAATTTAGGTAAGATCTGCTCTCTTTCTTTAACTCCGCTTGCACACTGTTTTTGCTTAATGTTCATCATGTAATTTTTTTCTTAATGTTGTCCCTCTCTTTGACCCCAAATGATTGAAATTTTTTAAAAAATCTCTTTTTATCATAGTCCTCTTTGTCTGTTCGGGGCCAGAGAGATGATTCTGCACTACTCGCAATGTTTAACAATTATGCGCCCTCGTGGGCAAAACGAGGTACGTAATGATATTGTATCATTTCTGATAATGTCTAAAATACAGCAGTGAAGAAAGTTAACTATTCATAAGTTCGAAGTGCTTATTTATTTCACTACAAGCAAAATTGCTTGATCAGATCTCACATTGGCCTAAGACTTCTATGCACTGATTGAGATATATTGGTGCTTTGTAAAACTGTGGACCATATTTCTCCAATATTTCTCTAACCTGGTGCCCAGAAAAATGCTGGACTTCAGTTTATTTATTTATCCAGTTTATATGGCCATCCAGCTATCCAATAAATTCTGAGAAGTGGACCAGATAAAAGCAAAGAATTCCATTATAGTCCAAAAACATATAAAACTGTACTGAGGTCTAGCAAAGCTGTAAACTCACTAACTGCATATATCCATGACATAGCTCTAATGCTGACAACTGTGCTATCCTGCGCATGTGCACACACACACACACACACACACACACACACACACAAAACTGTGGTTTAGTGGATTTATTAATATCCCCCAGCAACTCTGTTCATCGAAACCCAGAACTGTCCTAATCACAAGCAGACCAATGCTAGTCCACAGAACAATGGCCAGTGAGTCCACAAGGCACTGGAAAGTTTCACAATCAAAATAAACCCACCAGGAAAAAATTAATCCACAATACAAGAGGGTTCATGAGGCAAGAAACGTCCAGAATTCATAAGGCACGATCCAGGTCAAGGTATGGTATCAATCCAAAGCAAAGCAAGAATCACAGTGACAAGAAAATGCACAACTAGGAAATGAACATGATGTTCCCAGCATCACTTCCATCTGTCTGCTGTGCTAAAATGCTAACATCTGGTGCAACCCATCAAGAAGGTCAAGCTTCCATCTCACGAGTAATCTGGCTGACCTCCGCTCCTGCCTTTTCTCTACCCTATGTGTTCTTGGATCAAGTGCATGTTTTCTCCACCTGAAGCCTCAAGGCTGTCCTCCTGCAGGTGTCCTTGAACTAAATCCCTCTCAGAGGGCTGCTTGGAGCCATTAACCAACTCATCTCTAGATATGCCTGGAACTGGTTCATCTTCTTCCGAACTGACATCTGGAGAGATATCTGGGGAAGCATCCAGGGAATCATCACAACAACCCAACCCCAGAGCCTTCAGAAAGAAACAGGTTTACATGGCCTTTTGAAAGGACAATAATTAGGGGCCATCATAGTCAGCACAGTTAGCTTATTGGTCTTCTGTTCTTACTTTTTGCCAACTGGTATAAAAGCTTCCTTACATTTTGTATCTAACTTTTCCCTTCCCAGTAGAGTCTAAAAAAAAAGCCTCTAGCCTCAATATATGACCCAAATAATTTTATATGTTTATAAATGTATTTGGGCAACATCAAAAAAATACACTTGCTCTTTAACTTGGAATTTGAGGAAGAGACGTTGTTTTGCCTATCTTTCTTTCCTTTCCAAATTATTTTGCAACACTGGTTGGAAACCACATCCACACTCTTGTAGTTGTCTTTAATTCATGTTCAACTCAGTGAATATCTTTTTCTCTCTCTCTTGAATTAAATAATTTGTATATGGAAATAAAGTCAGAGACATAGCAACAGAAAGACCGAGTAATTGGGATAATTTATAACACAAATGTGTTTTCAGAAAATTTATCCATGAAATCTTTGGCTTGTTTGTCTGAAAACAGATAAGTCCAGAGTTTGGTTTTTCTTGATGAAAATATATTTTCTTTCCTTCTAAGGATTAATGTTGCCTGATTTAATAAACTTTGAAACTGTATGTCGGGGTGTCAAACTCAAGGCCCATGGGTCAAATCCGGCCCATGAGGTGGTCGGATTCAGCCTCTGGGGCCATCCTGGAAACTGTAAGAGGCTGTCCCGCATCACTTTGGTCCAGCCCAGCCCAGCCCTGGAGACACACATGCACACAGGAGGCGGTGGGCTCATGCATGCATGCACAGGCCTGGTGCAACCCATTCCGGCAGGTACATGTGCACACAGGAAGTGCTGGGTGCATACACACACAGGCCTGTCCCACCCCATTCTGGCATGTGCACACGCACACAGGAGGCATTGGGCCAGCGTCACTTCAGCCCACTTCAGCCTCACTTCAGCCCAGCCACCTCATCCTGACATGCATGTGTGTGCGTGGTGGAAAGTGCATGCTCATACAGGCCCAGCTCATACCATCCCGGTGCATGCACAGGCGCACAGGAGACATCAGGCCAGTGTTGCCCTGAAAATATCAGAATCTGATCAGAAATGGAAGATAGCTTAACTGGAGAGGTTGTGTAGCTCTTGTGGATGCTAGACCAGCTTCGGAGTGATAGTGGATTGCTGGTTTTTTCCTCCATCCATCCAGGAGCTCTCTTGTATAAAATATATAATTTCAATTGTATCAAAGGGGGCGGCAATCACTTGCTTTCTCTCCATAGATGTTGTGATGTTGCTAAATCTGCTCAAACCATCTGGATTCACAGCATTCCACTGAGCCTCAGAACTGCTCGCCTCAAACAGCACATGGGACTTGGAGGTTTAAGTTTTTTCTTGAGGAAATAAATTTTGAACTTGGTAATCTGCCCTGTCAAACAGAGGTGTAATAGCTAAGTCAAGAAAAAGTGCTCAATAGATTTTTCGAGTTGCGAATGGAAATCTGTGAGTTCCTTGAAAGCAAAGGAAAAGACTCCACAATATTCATATTGATGAAAAGTGGCAGTGTGAATTAGCTTTTATGTGCGACATTACTGAGCATCTTACTACACTAAACCTTCAGCTTCAGGGATGGGACCGTGTGGTCATGGACATGTATGATGCAGTGAAAGCCTTTCAAATAAATCTGTGACTGTGGAAGACTCAGATGTGGCAAGGAAACTTGGGTCACTTTCCCTGTTGCCAAACACTCATCAGCCAAGTCACTACCACTGTGTTCTCAGATGCTCATTTTGTTGATAAACTGAGCACACTTCAAATTGTGTTTACACGTCGTTTTGTTGGTTTTGAAACACAGACATTCAATTTTGGACTGCTCAGCAATCCATATGCAGTTGATGTGGAGAAAGCACCTGTAAGCATGCAGATGGAGCGGATAGAACTCCAATGTAACAGCACACTTATGGCAAAATATGATTCTGTAGAGCCCGCACAAATCCCCAGGTTCATCCCTGAAATTATTCCTCAACTCCACCTACAAGCTGCTTGAGTGCTGTGCATGTTTGGGAGTATAATACTGGTGTGAGCAACTTTTCTTCATGATGAGGGGGAACAAAAGCACACACAGAAGAGTTCTCACTGATGCACACCTCCACTCTATTCTGAGCGTTACCATAACTCAGAATCTAACTACAAACATGGATGAACTTGTAGCCAATAAAAGATGCCAAACATCCAGCTCAGACAAAACAGCATGAGAGAGAGAGAGAACTAAAAAGTTTATGGTTTTTTTTTTGTTTTTGCAGATTTATTTGAAATCTTTGTTCATATTTGAAATGCTAATCCTGTTAGGCCCACATTAATCCATTCCTGAACTAATATGATACAATAGTCTTACATGGAAGTCTTACATGGCCTTTTGAGGGTAACCATCATGTTGATGCAGTGAAAGTTTTCAGGAAGCAGTTTCCTCTGAGTCCAATTTCTGCCTTAAAAGATCTCTGCAGAGGAGGAGGGGATGGTGGGGGAGCAGCATGGGGAAAGGCTGTCCCTACAAGCTAGCATCCTTGCCACTCATAATTGGAAACAGGGATTTTGAGAAGAGACAGCCTCCCTCGTGCAGGACCAGGGAGCACTACTCTTCTTGCTCTCCAGAGATCTGTCAAGGTAGAAGTTGGCCTCGGAGGAAACTGCTTCCTACAAACTTTTTCCTTCATGTTTCCATACGCAGCAGCAGCATCCTTCATCTCCTCTTTTGCTGGGAGGGTGCACCAGGCAGGGAAATGCCAACAATATCTGGGATTGGAAGAAGAACGTTTCCTTTGACGTTCTGTGCAAACTGTCCCCCCTCACACATACCATTCCTAGCTTGGAGACTTTATCCATATCTGAGCTTACAAACTGCCAATCATGCCTGCGCTTGGGGAGAATGCCTCTCCTTCCTATGTGGGTAAAAGTCAACAAACTTGGAATGCATATTTGTGTATGTGCACATGCACTTGGCTGCCAGCAGTTTTGGGAGGTGAGGAGCTTCTGGGGCACCAAATTGTCCCCACATCAAGTTAGCTGGTATGACTTGTTCCGTCCTGACCCAGCCATACTGAGTCAGCCATGCCGAGTAAGTGGAGTCAAGATGGCCATGCCCATCCAGCTGGCCACGCCCAGGGACACACTCAAGCTAGCTACACCCACTCAGTCAGCCACGCCTGCCCAGCCCCCCCAAACTCAGCAAAAGCTCTAATGCAGCTCTCAATGAAATTGAGTTTGACAGCCCTGATATATGCAATTCATTAAGATGTACAAAAACAAATGAGAACCATATGCATAAAACAGCATAGTAATAAAAGCATTAGAGTTCAATACCGAAGTTCAAACTAAAATGTAATTATGATTGTTTGAAAAGATGTGACTTATTTTGAGCTAATATTTCAAATATTTTCAATGTAATCAATAAGAACAGACTATAAACAGTGTTGTAAATAAAATAAGTGCTGCTGTTTATTTAACAGATGAACAAAGGGAGCCTTTGCCTATGGATACAGAAGTTTATGAAAGTCCATATGCAGATCCAGAAGAAGTAAAAGCTAAAAATGTCACCCTTGACCGAAACTTACTGATTTTGGAAGATAAAGAACTTGGTTCTGGTAATTTTGGTACAGTAAAAAAAGGCACTTATGAAATGAAAAAGTAGGTTATTGTTCCCCAATTTTATGTTTTTAGTATCCTCTTCTTCATTAGATTTTGATACTGTTATTACAGTAGTTATTAGGAAAAAATGTATGAGACCCTTTATCTAACATAGAATTAAAAATTAGCTATGTTTAAATGAATATTGTTCATTTGTGATAGCCTTCCAAAACACTTGATAATTTAAAGTGAATGTAGAGTTGTTGCCATAAAACAATAGTACGTTGCTTTAACTACATTAACTCTCAAGTCACAGATATTTGCATTGGATTCCAGCTGTATAACAAAAATCTAGCATGTTACTTTTAAACCCAAGGCCCTGGCAGTTTTATTATCTCCTAGCTCAGGCAGAAGTCCCCTGAAGTTTAATAATGACGTATTGAATTTCAGCCTGAATCTTCCTTATGAATATAGCTATAATTATATCTTTAAAATTCAGTTTTGTGTACATTTACATAGAAATGACATTTAATTAATCTAGAAAGAGTAGTTTGTAGCAAAGGTGGGCTGCTACCGGTTTGCCCCGGTTCAGGCGAACCAGTAGCTAATTTTATCATTTTTAATGACTGGTTCGGTGAACGGGCAATTCCCAGCCTTGGCTGGCTCCACCCACTCCACCTGCCCCTCCCAGGAGTCTCCACATGGCGTGTTTTGGATGCCAGATAAGTGCAGGGCCCACATGGAGGCTCAGGGAGAACAAAAAACGGCCTCTTGGAAGCTCTGGAAGACTGAAAACTGGTCCATTTCCAGCCTTCAGGGGCCTCCAGATCCTGGGGAAGCCATTTTTGCCCTCCCGAAAACTCGAGGAAAACCTCTGGAGCCCAGGGAGGGTGAAAACGGCTCCCCCAGAATGGTGCAAGAGGCTGACTAGGCTATGCCCACCATGCCAATGCCCATCCAGCAACCGGGCAGAGAATCAGTTGCTAAAATGTTTGAAGCCCACCCCCATATTGCAGTCTAGCATAACAGTATTTTTTTTTTTGAAATTATTTGTTATAATTTGTTCACATGAAAATTGGCATTTTGGTTTTTATCTGGTGCCTTGGCAGTAAACTATATAATTAACATTTTTTTCTATATATCTTTGCTGTTTCTGTTGGGGAAAATTATTTATGTGTGCAATTTATATTTTATTTTATTATTTATGATTATTTATTTTTGGTAACAAAACAATCGAATTTGAAAAAAAAAGAACAAACTAAGAAAGAAAAAAAAATCTAGTGTTTTATACTTATCAGTGGTCACTGATTTACCAATAATTCACTACTATAGCAGAATCTGTGCTATATTGTTCCATCCTTTGATTGGTAGAAAATAATGTTTTGCATTTTTCAAAAGAGATTGGTCACACATTTCTGACAACCAATCCTTGAAAGTTTCCAATTTCTTAACAATTGTTTTGCAACCCATCACCATCCCTATGCTCAATACAACCACAATTCTTGATAAACAGCCAAATTCCAGAGTTTCAACATTATATTAACATATTTTAACATTTAAAGATGTTCTCCTAAATCTATTATTTTAACATTTAAAGATGTTCTCCTAAATCTATTAGTATACAATAATTCACTACCCCGCCCCCCAAAAGATATGAAATGATTACATTACCATATGAGTCAATATAGGTCAACTACTATATCATATGGGTCAAAAATAGTATTGGACCAAGATTTTTATTAGCCACCTCTTGGTAAAATGAAAATATCATCAAATATGATTTCTTATTGGCTAAATTTGGCAATTATTATCTATTTGTGCTATTTTCGATGGCAAATTCTTGAAACAACATGTTGGTAGGAAAGATTTCTCGGAGAAATGGTGAGAAATCTATTAGCCATTTTAGGATGGCTTTAAATTGTGATAGGGACTCAAGAATATAACTCTTTGGGAAAATTCTATTCGGTAAATTATTTAATTGGAAAGCTAAGATACAAGCTGGGTTGTGATTTTAAATCAGCTATGATATAATGACTAGTTTAAGGATTTTCTCCAACTTCAAATTGAATTTTGGCTTCCCAGTTTGTAATAGTGGAAGTGTCTTCAGCTTAAGTATGTGTTAAGGCATTGATGTCAAACTTGTGGCCTGTGGGCCGGATTCATCATGTGCTGGCCACCCTTACCCCCATTTTAGTTAATGGGGGAAAAGTCTCAATACATCACATGATGACTTGATGCCACAAGTTTGACACCCCTGTTTTAAGGGATCAATATAGACCAGATGCTTTGGTTGCCTCAAAGGCACCTGAGCTGCTTTCTTGTTTGATGGAATCCATTACACTATAACATACTGTATCTCTATCTCAAGAAAAATTTGAAAGTGGACTCTTCTGTGATATTTCAAACATGGACTAAAGAATTGGAACTTCTGATAAAGCCAGGGTAATGGCTTCATGATCTTAAATTTTTTAAATATTATCTACAGAATTGAAATGAAGGCTGGTTCTGTTTGAAAGATTTCAGCAGAGCAATGCAAGCAAACTACTACTGGCCAGCAAAATTTATTTTAGGACAGAAATAGGCCACCTCATTTCCAGCCATCTAACTTCTTCAAAGCTTCTCTGAAACTTAATATAATTATATTTCCTGTTACAGAGGAAAGAAAACTGTGGCTGTGAAAATTCTCAAAAATGAAAGTAATGATCCAGCAATAAAAGATGAGCTCCTAAGAGAAGCAAACGTAATGCAACAACTTGATAACCCATATATTGTCCGAATGATTGGCATATGTGAAGCTGAATCTTGGATGCTGGTAATGGAAATGGCTGAGCTTGGCCCCTTGAATAAATATCTGCTAAAACATGGGTGAGTTGACAGTAAGTTGACAAGTTTTGACCAATAATGGATGGAATCTAAACTGATAATTAAAATGTCCACTGCTCATTAGAAAATGCAGGTAATATGAAAATAACCGCTTTTGTTATATCCAACGAATTGCTGAAATTGGTGTTTCTTTGAATACTTCAACAGCAAATATTTTCATAACAGTGACATTTTCAAAATTAACATTTTCTTTTTCAATTTACTTTGAAGGCATATATGCAGCTTTGTGATATACCACTTATTTTCACTACAAGTGAACTTACTGAATACAAATATCCATGACTATGCCTTATTCATATAAAGAATGATATACTTTGACTTGCCATCCCTGCTTACTTGAATGCATGGCTAAGATTTTGCTGGATTTAGTATTCCATAGGTACATTTACAGAGCATGGAAGTCATTGCAATATAGAAAAGTCACAAATATAAATGATTGAGTCTGTTTAGGCCAGAGGTGGGGAATGACAGGCCATTTATGACTTGTGGACTTTCAATTCCCAGAATTCCTGAGCCAGCCAGTTGAAGTCCACAAGTCATAAATGGCCATAGTTCCCACTCCTGATCTAGACCATCATCATGCTTCTTAATTATCTCATATTCATTGTACATTGATCCACTATATATATTCTACACAAGCAGTGTAGTTCTGCGAGTTGAAGTCCACAAGTCACAAAAGGGCCTTCATTCCCCACCTTTGGTTTAGGCAAACCTTTGATTTCTGCAAGGTCTACTTTCCAGAAAATTTCTATTTAGTGGTTGGCATTTGCTTGTAAATCAACCTAAGTCAAGCTTTTCAGGGCACATTCCAAACATTTGTTAGGATCAGGACAAAGAAATAAGCAAAGAGCAGAACATATTAATTTTATTTTAATTGAAATGTAGTTTAAAAGATTAATTCAACTAGTACATTTATTTTCAGTGTACTTAACAATAATAATCACCAGTCAAATTATAATTATGTCACATTAAAATCTACAATCCATTGACAATTTCTGAAGGTTTCTGAGATTGCATAAGACTGGGAATAAAGTACTCCACCTCTGTTCTAGACTATTTGGATGCCACATAGTTATAATAAAAAAATTAACAATAACGTATGAAAAAAATGAATACATAAGGACTGTGTTCTCTAAGCAATAAAGTTGGACTATTTATTCAATGTATCATTAGTATCTACTGGGTGGGAGTGAGGAATGAAGAATGTAAAAAGAAATTAGTTTCTAAAAGTCTGCTTTGATTTTGCAGAGATGTCACAGAAAAGAACCTAATAGAGCTGGTGCATCAAGTTTCCATGGGAATGAAATATTTGGAAGAAAATAATTTTGTACATAGAGATTTAGCTGCAAGAAATGTGCTTCTGGTTACACAACATTATGCCAAAATCAGTGACTTTGGACTTTCAAAGGCGCTTGGGTCTAATGATTATTACAAGGTAATTTTTCCATCCTTTAACATGCTTTAAGATTTTTATCACCAAATGTAAATGTGAATTGTGTCACTATAATTCAGCTTTTGCTCAACCTTATACCTTGCACAGATTTGCAACAAATTATGGTTCATTGGACAATTACAATGGAACATGTTTTCTGATTCTTTTATGGATTGTGGTTCATAGATATAATGCACCAATATTTTTTATTGTTTTCTTTAATTTTGGGTGTCATTACAGGCAGAACAACATGGCAAATGGCCAGTTAAATGGTATGCTCCAGAATGCATGAACTTCTTTAAATTTTCTAGCAAGAGTGATGTTTGGAGTTTTGGTGTGTTAATGTGGGAGACATTTTCCTATGGGCAGAAGCCATATAAGGTAAATAAACTTTATGTGCCATTATTAAACTTTCCTTTTTAATTCCAAATTATAGATTTAAAAATAAACCAAGATAGAGATGCTATTCAAATGTCCATTACGACACACCTTTGTGAGAAAAATATTTCAGAAATTGTGATATTCTTATTTCAGTTGAAGCCAGCATTGTCTCAGTTTTCTGTGTCACTCGGTTGTAGGGTATGAAAGGAATTGACGTTGCTCAGATGATTGAAAGAGGAGAACGAATGGAATGTCCAGTGGGTTGTTCATCTGATATCTATACATTAATGAAATTGTGTTGGACATATAAGTAAGTATTCTCATATTGATAGTTTCTTTAACCTTATCAGGCTCATCATAGTTAAATGTTCCATCAAAACCAACATATACGGGCACTCTTTGCCATCTCAGTTTGGAATTCTTTAGCAAAGTGATACATCTCATTTTTCATGCATCCCAACATAAATACCTTGATTTGATCTCTTGGTTGTGACTGCCATCCTGACTTTTTGATCCATTCTCTGTTTCAACCTGCACCCTGCAGATATCCTTTTGGAACTATCTGATAGTATTGATAGGTAAGAAGATGAAAGAAACAGACAGATCATGACTTTGCTTAGATTTGTAATCTTTTCCAGTGTTTCCAAAATATCATTTCACAATGCAGTATTTTGTTGACTGCTGCTTGATAAGTCCTAAGAAGCCACTATTAATCTGATAAGCACAGCAGTTAACACAATAAGCTGTTCTGAAGAAAGAAAAAGTGCTGGTAAATGTTGTTAAAGAGATAATATATTTACTGGAAATTGCCAGAGAAATAATAAAAGATTCTATTTGGCTACAAAAATATTTTCCATTTTTCTTCCAGTGTTGATGATCGGCCATCATTTTTTACTGTTGAATTAAAGCTACGCAACTACTACTATGACATTGCTCAATAAGTATACTGTGGAATTGCAACAAAGACGGTCCAAGAGGCTGATACAAAGTTGACTTTTCAAATAAGTTGCAGAAGTATCAAAATGTACTCCAGAAGAAACATCCTGAAAAGACCTTGCTACTTTAAAAACTTGCTAGTAGCTACAATAATATTTTAAAGTGAGCTTATTAGTTATGCTTGCTTAGTCTATTTTAAAAATGGGTTTTGTTAGGTTGCTTTCTGTCTTGCTTTTTTCAAATGAGCCATCTTTTATGATATCAAAAGAACATTTGTATTTTCATCATTATTGCTGTTAAAAGAATTGGATACTTTCACTTTTGAAAGCTCAAAGCAAAGACTGCTTTTAAACTAGAAATGAGCCAATAAGAAATAAACAGATCATAGTTTTTAAAACATATGGCATAAAAAACCTATATCCCTACTTCTCTCTTGGTATTTATTATTTGGAAAAATATAAATGTCTATAAACAAAATTGGTAAATTGTTTCATATAGTAACGATAGAAACCTATTATTATTTTCATCTTTAAATTAAATAATAAAAGTAAAAAATAAGAAGTATAGATGAACTAACAACACTTAACCTACACTGATAGGCTGTAGGAGCCCCATTTATTTAGGTCTACTCTATATAAAAACCTTAATTGTTTAGTTAGGTATCATTGAGTCAGGCTTATTTCTTGGGGTACTGCTCAGTATTTCAATTTATTTCCAACAATAACCCATAACTCTTCCTAAGACAATCATGCAAATTTTTCTTTAATCCTCTCCTACTACCTTAACCTTTATCCACCCTTTCTTCTATTTCTCCATCTTGACAAACAACATTTGTATGTTTTATTCTATGATCAACTCACATTACATGTTCAAAGTGTGTGAATTTCACCTTACTGTAGTAATTGTTGCCTCAACAGACAGTCAGCCTTTATTCAGCTCAGGACTGAATAATCATTTTTGCCTAGTATTCTTACTGTCTTTAGATCCATCATCTGAACTTGATTCTCATTCTTTCTCAGTATCGATATACAGTGTATTATTATTAGAAATACCATTGCTTCAACTATTTTGATCATTGTTGTCATCAGATAGTCTCTTGTAAAATATCCTTCAACGAGTGTGTTTATCCAATTGCATCTAACAATAATACAAACATATTCTAGCAACTCCTTTATACTATGTGTTTCCATAATGTCTTCAACTTGCTCCCAGCCTACTCCCAGGCTCAAGTTGTTCTCATCCATTATCAAAGCAATGCTTTCTCTTTTACAGGGAGAGGAACCCCCTAGTTATCCAAAGTGTGTAAAATCTTAGGTGCTTCATTCTGCCAGCAACACAGCCAGGTGACTTCTACAGGGTAGGATCAGCTTCAAGTTACACATTTCCCTTCAGTACCTAGTGATCTGTCACCATTCTCTTTTCTTAGCCTTTGGCAGAAAGCACTGGACATAGTTGCTCCAGTTCCAGCAATTTCATCAAGAATTTAACAAATTATGTGGGTTCTCCAGATCCAGGAATGGGATTGGTGATGGGACAACACATTTTATGCCAATGCCGATTTCTGCTGACTCAAACATAGATAGTCACTTGAATTAGGCAGTAGGGAAGGGCCATCTTTGACACAGCATTTATCCCTAAGATGAATATCTTCTTTACTCATTATTTTTAGTTTGTGAGCCCAAAAGCTGAAATAAATAACCATCTACCATCTTCATGATCAACTGTAACCTCATGATATTTGCTTGTGATCATGAGGTGATGTTATTATGAGGTGGCTATAAATCCTTCCATGGCTGCTGACCAAGATGCTTTGATAACAAACATCTGCAAGTAACCAAATTTTTCTCAGCTCAGGCATGGAGAAACTATTACTCAACTGATTCATATAACAAGAGTTTCTAATACTGCATCTACTCTCCAATAGTAGTAGTATTTGTGCTTTTTGTATTTTCTGTAATATATGGCTATCAGAAAAAGAACTTGAATGTTCATGCCTTAGCATCTGAATTTAAGTTTCTTGAAATGTTTCTACTAAACAGCCATCTTGCCTTATTGTCAGAACAATAGCAAGTATTCAGACAGTAGGGTATATCCAACTATGCATGCTTTTCCTGTTAGTTTAACATCTGCCAGTGAAATATATTCTTCTACCAGTGTTCTATCCAAGGATGCTGTAGAAGATTGCAGTCACTTGTGGGTATTACAAGATGAATAAAGGCAAATTCTTTTGCATGTGCTTACAGACTAAGTGTAATTTTAGATGCCCCTTATTATATTTATTTAGAGAGCCAGTTTAATGTAAGAGAGCCATGCTAGAAAACAGGAGACAATGTGCATGAAGCCAGATGGCTTACCTTGGGCCAATCACTCTCAACCTTAGGAAGGATGGAAGAGCAAACTACTTCTGAAAAAACCTTGCCAAGGAAACTGCAAGGACTTTTCCAGGTAGTGAGAATCAGACAGGATTGAATGGAAGAAAAAAAAATACATACCTTAGTCTGTAACTATTTTACATTTCTGTAATCCTGCATTTTTTCCTTACCACAGAAAGTCTACTAAAAATGGAGAATTGGACTAACACCACAAAACATTTGATTGAGAATATTAGCAGCTTTTTTTTGAAAAATTATTGGCTGAGAATTAAATGATTTCTGTAATGCTTATGATGAATTATTCCCTAAACAATTCCTGATCAATTGTATTTTCTGTATGTTTTTTTAAATGTTATTAGTTTTTAATTTTAATTTCATCCCTGAAGACATCTGTAAATGTAGCCATATATCCTATCATGAAGAGTTAAGAACTAATATAAACTACATTATGTAATAGAAATGTATATTATTTTAAATAACCGGACATAAAACATTTTCACTTTAATTTATTTTTAAATCTCTTTAGGCATATAGAAAAACATTCTGTAATAATAGCATAGATAATACTTAATTATCATTTGTTAATTTTATATACATTCACAAGGTCTTATTTTATCTGTTTCTATGGCAAATATATTTGTAATGAGGCAGATTAATTCAAACCCACCTGCATATAACAAATATTGTCATAGTAATAAGACAAATGTATCTATTTAAAAATCCTGATTCATTTCCTGAATGAGAAATAGTACATGTAGCTTAAAGATTTCCCATCTCTGATTAGATCTCCAGTATCACTATCTGACAACAACAGATTGTCACAACAGTCAACTATAGACTTTTTAAAATCTGATGTACCTATCAAAAATGAAGGAGAGGCCTTTGAATATCTTTCCTGCCTATTTTAAACACCTTAAAAGATTGTTTCTCTTGTTTGTAATAAACCATTGGAAATAAATGTATGGCTGACAAGGGTGACTGAAACCCTGAAAAGACAATTTACTGACTACATAGTTTATACAAAACGAAACTCATTTTCATTTAAGCCAGAAACCTATAAACCTTGAATTCCATGGAGCTTCCAAGCATACAAGGGTTGCTTTCTAATTGTCTCTTTAGACCTCTTTGTGGACTGAAAGAAAAATGAGATTCCATTTCTAGAAATGGTTCAATAGGGAAACAATACAACTCTCTTTATTTTGATTTTATTGCCAGAGTGGGGGAAAAAAACATAGCAAATAAACATTCAAAATCTCATCTCTAACTACTTACTGGAATGCTTTCTGAGAGGCTTTAAAGTGTAAATGTGTACAAAAGAGAGAGCTGCTATAATCTTTTCCTCATCTCTCTTGAATGTAAAGAATTATTTCTTTTGACACTTAAAACTTTTGTATAAAGAATGTCTGTGAAATGTGAGAAAATAAAAAACAGGATACTTCAAAATGCAATTTAATACATTCAGATATTTAAACCTTGATATTCCCAAGCATGCCATTGTATGCATTTTTAAAATATGTATTTTTAAAATATGTTCTGTTTTTATCATCTCCAAATGAATAGAATATGTTTTTGTCATTTTATTTCCACCATCTGCAGTTCTGAAAATTAAATTTGTGTTTGCCTAGTTTTTTTTCCTAAATAGCTGCCTTCCTCTATCTACAATTTCAGTTACTGTTTGAAGTGCATTGTATATTAAAAGATATTTTACAGATGGCGATGTACCGCTTTTACAAACGTTCAACATTTGTATGGTGGTTACAACTCAGCCTTAGTAGCTTGTGCTTGTTACTCTCTAGGCTAGCATGGCCAAGCACTATTTCAGTGTTATAAATATTGATTGGCAGGGATCTCCAAAGATTTCAAGAGGTGTTTGTTTTTTTATACCAATCTTACTGCAGATTTCAGGGAAATTGGGGGATTTCTACAACCAAGAGATATACTAAGGTATACTTGAATTAAAGGGTCCTTGGTGCTCTTTTTTTCTTGCAGAAGTTTAATTACCCTAACTAGATAACATCATCAGTGCTAGTAAGGAGTACTGTTTTCTGTCAGTTTATATACTGGTGTCGTGCCTGTCTGTCCAGACATCAACAACATCTATAGACTATGGAAAAGAGACAATCATCCAGCCCAAAAGAGAAAAAGACTCCAGCACCTCTCCACCAGTAATCAGCACTCAGATCAGCATAGATTAACTCCAAGATTAACTTCATATCAACAATCAAGTAAAGAATACCTTAATCAAGAAACTACCAAAGAGGCATCAGTAAACGGTATAACCAAAGAATCTCTATGACTGCCCCACCAACACAGACAGACAATGCAGACAGAATCTAAACTGACAGCAAACAGTACTCCTTACTACCAGTAGCGCTGATGATGTTACCTAGTCAGGGTAATGAAACGTCTGCAAGAAAACAAGCAATCTCAGAGAGCACAAACTTCATTTCAATCCTGAGCTACAAATATTCTCCTTTATAGGTACATTTCAATCTCAATACCAATGACTGACAACAGTGTTTCAAGATTCTGATGAAATATTTGTCTCTCTTGTAGCTCATGCAGTTCTCTCAAATAGCTCATTGGGTGATCTGCAGACCCCGTCCCTTTCAACTCGCTTATTTTTGGAAGGAATAAGAAAACTTCAGCCATGCATGCCTCTTAACCTTCAGGAGAAAACCTTGCATATACTATACAGCCAATGTAATGTTTACCATGTCCTTCTCATACCAGCCAAAGAAAGTAAGGCTTGCCTTTGACCAGCAGATGTCAGTATTTGAACAGATTTTGCTCATATTTGGGGTTCTAGTTTTCATTTTAGTGAGTAGCATGCAGTCCCTTCAACAGCATCATTATTCTGAAATCATGAAAAGTAAATTTTATGCCTGTAGTGCATAGGAAAAGTATGCACGTCTCAGTGAAAAGTATATCCTGCCTAAACTGAAATATTTTTAAATTTAGCCTGGCTCAGTTTTTGATAGGCAGATGACCTTTATTGCCTTTTTTTCTTACTGTGAGCACACTGGCATATATTAAAAATACATTTCTGTTGCCTATACACATGCTATATATGTACATACATACACATGCATAAATATATAAATTACTGTCCACCCTGAATGCATATTGTAAAGAGGAAGCTTGAGAGTTCACAAGGTTGATACTGTATGGAACAAAACAACATAAAATCTTGGATGTTCTGCTTCAGATATCATGAAGCCTCCTTCCAGAAGATTATAAGGAAAACAGGATATGAAGGGGATGCTTAGTATCCCCAGTGGTGCAATTCAACAGGTGTAACAACCGGTTCGGTGAGCATGCACACACGCCAAACGCATGCTCTGCGTGTGCGCACAGCATTTTAAAAGAGTCCATTTTCAGCTCTTAATACTTACCTTCTACTGCAGCCGCTGTGAATGAGGCGCGGCAAACTGCTTTACCGCAGGAATCAGCTGTGCTCTAAAAAATCGAAATAAAGCACAGGAAAAAGCAGGGGCAGGTGGGCAGGGCCAAATGCTCACTGGAACTACCGGTTTGCCTGAACCTGTCCAAACCAGTAGAATCCCACCTCTGAGTATCCTAGACAATCCTGCGGACCCTGGTCAAGCATCATTTATATGCTATGTCCTGGCTAGATGGAAGTGAACAGCCAATAATCTTCTCTGCCATTCAGTCAGTTTAAGTAACTATACATTGCCTTACAGGTAAACCGAGAAAATAAATCTCAAGAAATCTACAGATAGTTTTAACATTAAGCCACAAGGTATTTTCATTTGGTTTTAACTTATGTTCTATGAATTCAACCATTATGTTTTTAATGTTTTACTACGATTGGGTTTTATTTAATATCCAACCATTGGGTTTTATTTAATTCATAGCATTAATTTAATGGAAAATTCAAAGCCAAATTCAAAAAAATACATACACTTCCCAAAGAGTTTCAGCCAGGTAAGCCAGGTTAGTGGGGAAGAGACAGACTGGCATTAGAAAAAATGTGCTTCACTTAAGCTCTTTATACTTTTCTAGACTATTAGAATAATAGGATTCACTATTAACTCATCACTTAGCCTGCTCCTCTTATCCTTATATTGCTGTTTATATTGCTTGGTGCTTTATTTTTTTTAACAATTTTTATGAGTTTGAGATTAATTTATATGCCACTCATCTCACAATCCAAAGTGACTCTGGGCAGGTAACCATACAATAAAACACAATTATATAAAAACAATTCAAATTAGAAAAGTTAAACAAACACTAAAATCACCACCTCTAGCATAAAATGCCTCATCAGAGCCAAGTTTTGAGACTGTTCTGGAAGGCCAGAAGAGTGGGGATGGATCTCATTCTCTCAACAAGATGTTACAAAAGACAGGAGCCATGGCAGAAAAGACTCTTTTCTAGACCCGGCCTGCTGAGAAATGGGGTCCATAGCAAGCCGCTTCTGCCCGAACCAATGGAGCAGACCAATCCCATCGGGGCTGATCATTTATTACATATCAACAGGGAGAGCAGGAATACCCAAATGCCTGGCAGGCATAAGAGAAGCCTTGTCAATGTATTAATTTATTAAAATAAGATATTTGCTTTTCCATATAAAAGATCTTTAAAGAAGCAATGAGATAGTTATATAGCATAGCATAGAATAAAAAAGTTGGAAGGGACCTTAGAGGTCTTTTAGTCCAAACCCCTGCCTAGGCAGGAAACCCTAAACCACTTCAGACGAATGGTTATCCAACCATATGATGGGAAATATGCCCTGAAAGAAGTATGAAAAAGGGTCCAGAAGATCAGTTTCCTGCCAAGTTCAACTTATCTCAAGAATCTTTCCCCAAAAGAGAATGGGAAATAGCTGTCCAAAATTGCAAGGAAGAATAATGATTTCTTCAGGAGCAAATGTACCACTGCCTCTTTCAAGGCAGGTAATATCTGCACTCCTAAGAATAACTATCCCAATTGCCCTGATCCAACCTCCTGTTACCTCTCTAGAGTCTTCACCAACTAAGAAGACCAGAGATCCAGGCTGCTG